TCCTCCTCCTCCTCCTCCTCCTCCTCCTCCTCCTCCTCCTCCTCCTCCTCCTCCTCCTCCTCCTCTGGCTCCTGGAGAGGCGGGCGGGGCCGCGGCGTCTGCGGCGGGGGCCACGCCCCGTGGCGTGTCGACCTCGAGTCCGAAGGACTTCTGACGAGAGCGGAGCCTCTGAAAAGCCCCAGCCCGTGCTCCCCGGACCTCCCCCCGTGGTGCGCTCTGGCCAGACTTTCGAGGCGAAGCCAGCCGCGGCGACGAGGTCTCTCGGGATGCCCCATAAGGCGAGAACGAGAAAGGGCAGTGGCATCGGTACCTCCTTCTCCTCCTCCTCCTCCTCCTCCTCCTCCTCCTTTTCCTCCTCCTCCTCCTCTCCTCCTCTCCTTCGCCCCTTCTCCCCCTCCTCATCAACCTCATCCTGCTCCTGCTCCTGCTCCTGCTCCTGCTCCTGTTCATGCTCCTCCTCCTCCTCCTCCTTCCATTCCTCCTCCTCCTCCTCCCCCCCCTTCGATGACGCCCGCTGGGAGCGGAGCTCCTGCACCTCCTCCGGCTCCGGGGCCTCCCCGCGGGAGCGGAAGGCCTCGCCCTCGTGCCGGGGCAGCCTGGGGTCGGAAGGCCTGCCGCGGCCAAACGGGAAGAGGGCGGCCTGGTCGGCGTCGAAGCCGGAGCCGGGGAACCTCTGGCGGGAGGGGGGTGGCGCAGAGAACTCCACCGGAGGAGGAGGAGGAGGAGGAGGAGGAGGAGGAGGAGGAGGAGGAAGAGCAGCAGCAGGAGGAGGAGGGGGGGAGGAGGAGGAGAAGGAGGAGGAGGGAGAGAAGGAGGAGCAGGAGGAGGAGGAGGAGGAGGAGGAGGAGGAGGAGGAGGAGAAGGAGGACGAGGAGGAGGAGGAGGGAGGAGGGAGGAGGGAGCAGGGAGGAGGGGGGATGGAGGAGGGAGGAGGGAGGGGGGAAGAGGGAGGAGGGAGGCGGGAGGAGGGAGCAGGGCGGAGGGAGGGAGGTTTCCTCCTCCCGAACCGCCGCCACCGCAGCCGCCACTGGCCGAACCCACCCTTGCCCCCTCCTCGCGCCACCGCTGCCGCCTCCGCCGCCCGGCTTTCCGCGGCGGCGCCCGGGTGGGGAGGCGAGACGGGGCGGGCCTTCTCTCTAAGGTTCGGAAGGGCTCCAGCCTTCCGGGTAGTTGCCTAATGCCTTCCCCGAAGGCACGACACAAATCCTCAGAAGGGAGGGGGAGGAGGACCGCACTACTGGCGCAAGTCCCTCAGGTTGGCCTCTCGAACCACCTCGGGAGGGCCCCCTCGATGAGCTAGCGGCCTGTTTCTGTGTTGTCCAAGTGGGATTATGGGTCCCTTCGGGAATAGGAGCCACGCCGTGCGAGAGCACGTGCCAGTTGAAGAGGGTGGAGGAAGAGGAGCGTGGAGAGGGGACAAAGGCGAGACGAGGGCGGAAAGGAAAAGAGACAGCGATGGAGGAGGAGGAGGAGGAGGAGGAGGAGGAGGAGGAGGAGGAGGGATGATGATGATAATAATGATGATGATGATGAGGAGGAGGAGGCGGAAAAAGGAGGGGGAGGCAGGAAAAGGGAGGCGGGAGGAACATGTAAGAAGGAGAGAGTGAGGAGTAGGAGGAGCATGAGGAGGAGCATGCGGAGGAGCAGGAGGAGGAGAAGGAGGAAAGGGGGAAGTGGAAGAGGAGGAGGAAGGATGGGGAGGCAGGAGAAGGGAGGCGGGAGGAATATGAGAGAGGGAGGAGTAGGAGGAGCAGGCGAAGTAGGAAGAGGAGTATGAGGGGACAGGGAGAGAGAGGAGAGAGGCAAGCTAGGCGCTCTCGCGCCACATCTGACATCCTACCCCTCCCGCCCATCCCTCCCCAATGCGCGGATTCCGTCTTTGTCCGCGGACGCGTGTCATTGCGGACCTGGGCCTCTCCAACATACCCCCTGTCGTGTTGCGCATGCGCGATCGAAAAAAAGGGGAAAACTGTAGGACAAGAGAAATGAAGGGGGCGGCAGCAGCAGGAACTGGCGCGGAAGGGGCGGCAGGAGCAGGAGGACCAGGGGAAGGCGGAGGACGGAAAAGGAGGGGGGCGACAACGATGAGGAAGAGCGGTCAGCTGCAAATGCACATTGGTCTCTGAGCTGCAAGTGCACGTTAGCGTTGCATGTGACGTTGGATCTGCACGTTGGATCTTCGCGTGTGATCTTTACGTTGGATCTTTGCGTTGGATCTTCAGCTGGAGATTTACGATGGATCTTTACGTTTGGCTTTTACGTTTGAATGTTACGCTTGAGTATTACATTGGGTTTTACGTTGGATGTCTACGTTGGATTTCCATGTCGGAGTTTCGTGCCGCCTTTTTTCTTGCGTTGGTTTGTTGCCGAATTTGTTTGTTTTGTTTGTAGGCTTGATGTTTTCATCAGCTATTTAACCTTGGGCTCTTACGTTGAATTTGCACGCTTGATTTTCACGTTAGACTTATACATTGAGCTCTTGGGTTAATTTCTTGCGCGGGAATAATCTTCACGTTGAATATGCACGTTGGGTCTCTACGTTCGACCTTAACGTTGGGTCTTTACGCTGTATATTTGCGTTGGATCCTCACGAGGGACCTTTACTTTGGATTCCTCGTTGGATATGCACGTTGGATCTTTACGTTGGGTTGCATCATTAGGTTTTCACGTTGGACTGTTACGTTTTTTGTTTTGATTATCTCCCCGTTGGCTTTTACATGTATTTGCTTTGGGCTTCCATGCCCGATCGGAGTTTCACGCAGCCTTTTCTTATTCTTGTTTACTGTTGCGTTGCTGTTTTTTTTTTTCCAAAGTTTACGTCGCGGTGTTTAACACACTTGCGTTTGTTTGTAACTGAGATGCGCGCGTTAAATGTTCGACCTTGGGTTCTTACGTTCGGTTGACACGTTTGGTTTTTCCTTCGCGTTCGAAACTTACGACTGATCTTTGCTTCGGATCTTCACGTTGGATCTTTGCGTTGGGCCTTCACGTTGGATTTGGGCGTGGAATATTTACGGTTGTTGGCTTTAAGCGTTAGACCTGCACGTTGGATTTCTGAGTTGGGTTTGCGTTGCATTTCCACGTCAGAGTTTTGCGCCGCCTTTTCTTCTGCGTTTTCCCCGCGTTGAAATTGCACTCCAAAACTGATGGAGGTGTTTAACCGACTGCGTGAGCCTCTTTATGCGCGATGTTTTCAAGTGTTCGACCGTTGGTTCTCACGCTGGATTTGCACGTTGGGTTTCCACGTTGGAATTTCACATTGGGCTCTTGGGTTGGATTTTTCCCCGGAAAAAATCTTTCGCGTTGAGCCTCTGCGTTGGGTCGTTGCGCTCGGCCTTTACGCTGGGTCTTCACGTTGAATCTTTACGTTGGATCTCCACATGGAATCTCCACGCTTGGTTTTTCACGCCGGGTCGCCGCACTGGGTTGGCACGGTGGATTTGCACGCTGGACTTTCGCGTTGAATCTCAGCGCTGGGTTTACGTTGGCTGTTTGCGTTCGGCTTTTACGCTGGATCTTCATGTTGATTTGTTGCACTGGATTCCCGCGCCGGAGTTTCGCGCCGCCGATTTCTTGCCCCCATGGTGCTGTTGATGTTTTGCTCTGGGCTTCGTGTTGGCGTTTTCAATTGGGATAACTAGATTTTTACGCTGCATGTATACGTTGAATGTTTTACAATGGGTTCTTACGTTGGGCTTCTGCAGCGGGCCTTCACGTTTGATTTCAAATTTAGTTATCGCGACAGATTGTTGCGCTAATCTAAGCCATGGGTTCACGTTGGGCCATTGCGTTGGTTGTTTGTGTTAGAAACGGAGGATACGTCGGATTGGATTGTAACGTTAGATCGTTACGTTGGATCGTTACGTTAGATTTGTCGTTACATTGGATTTTCGTTAGGTTACGTTAGGTGTGTCGTCACGTTACACTTGTCGTTGGATTACGTTGGATGTTACGCTAGATCGTTACATTGGATAGTCGATTTCTCACGTTAGATCGTTACGTTGGATTTGTAGGTTGGGTCTCTACGTCGGACTGTCACGTCGGATTTTCACGTTGGACTTCACGTTGGTCTCGCGCGTGGAATTCCCCGTTAGAGCGTCGGCGTTTTCTGCTGGGCGTTTACACTAAACTTCAATTGCTTACGCGGGGTCTTTACGTCGGATCTCTACGTTGGGTTTTTACATGAGGTTTCTGCCTCATCTTTTACGTTGGACCGTTGCGCTGGATCATTCTGCTTGATCTCCATGCTGGATCTGCGAGTCGGGCCTCACGTGGAACAGGTTTTTTTTTCGTTGGCCCAGCCGAACATTGCAATTCCACGCTGGGTATTTACGTGGGGCCTTGGATTTGCACGCTGGAGCTGTTCTGCAAGTTTTGCGTTGAATCTTCGCGTTGGATCTTGACGTTGGATCTGTGCGTCGGATCTCTGCCTTGACTCTCTGCGCGGGATCTAGAATGTTTCGCGTTAGACCTTCGCGATGGGTCTCTCCGTGGGATCTCGAACTTTCACGTAAAATCCGCTCTGCAAAAATTTACGCTGGACCTTCGCGTCGGATCTCTTCACGTTGGATCTCCGCGTTGGACCCCGCATGGGATCTGGAACGTTCCAGGGGCCCGGGATTTGCACGTTGGCTATGGTCCGATACTTCTACGTTGGATCTTTACGTTTGACCTTTACGTTGGATATGTACGTTGGTCTTTGCGCTTGATAATTACATGGGATCTGGAATTGATTCACGCTGGATTTCTACCTTGCACGTTCAAGTTGAATGTTTACGCGGGGTCTGCGGCTGCGGCGTTGGATCTGCTCCGAGACTGTTGCGTTAGATCTTTGCGTTGGACCTTTGCGTTGGATCCTTCTGTGGAATGCGGAATTTCTCACTTTGGGTTTTTACGTTGGATCTTCGCGTAGGGTCTTGGTGTTTTGCGTTGGGTCTGCTTTCAATTTTACGTATGATACCCCTTTGGGTCTTTGCCCTGGAGCATTGCGTTGGATTTCCACGTGGGATCTGGACCTTGCGGCGTTGGTGAGTTGGACATTTCCGCCCGATCGTTGCGCGGGGTCTAGAATTTTTTTACGTTGGATCTGGTCTTCATTTTTACACTGGACCTTCACGTTGGATTTTTACGTGGGATCTGCACGTTGGATCTTGATTTGCGTTGGATGATTGCGCGTGGGATCTGGAATTCCCGACGTTGGATCTTCGCGTTCGATCTTTACACGGGGTCTGGAATTTGCACGTTGGATCTGCTCTGAGACTTTTACGTTGGATCTTTCCGGTGGATATTTGCGTTGGATCCTCCTGTGGGACTTGGAATTTTTCCAGGCTCGATCTTCACGCTGAATATTTTCGTTGGGTCTCTCCGCGGGGTCTCGGATGTTCACGCTGGATCTGCCCTGAAACTTCTACGTGGGACTCTCGCGTTGGATGTCCGCGTTGGATTCTACGTGGGATCTGGAATTTGTCACGTTGGATCTTCACGTTGGATCTCCACGCTGCATCTTTCCGTGGGGTATTGGATTTTTTCTGCTCTGAAATTATCGCGCTTGATCTTTGCGCTAGATCTCCACCCGGGATCTTCACGATGGATCCTCGCGCTGGACCTCCACGTGGGCTCTGCTCTTTCCGCATTGGATCTTTACGTGGCGTCCGGGATTTCCACGCTGGATCCGCTCTGGCACTTTGATTAACGGGCGAAGAACGGTATAACATAAACTGTTTCGCTGTCGGGGGCGCCTGTCCCAGGGCGGCTGGAAAGTTCATGCCCTTGCGGCGGCACCGCAGGGGTATAAACTTTCCAGCCGCCCAGGGACAGGCGCCCCCGACAACGAAAAAGTTTATTTTATAACGTTCTTCGCTCGCTGATTTTACGCGAGACCCCGCCGGGGCCCCCGGGCGCGGCTGCTCAACCCACGCCTCGCGCTGCCTTAGTGGGGGGGGAACCAGGAAGCAGGGCGAGGAACGGCGCCCCGACCTCCGATTGTCTTGACTACACCCACGCGCGGCCCCATGGATGCCCCGACATCTTCCTCGGGACTTGAAGGTCGCTGGGGGGGCAGCGTTGTTTCCAGGGTCAGATCCCCGTGCGCTCGGCGGGCGCGCTTGATCGGTCAACAGCAATCCTTACAGCCGCCCTTCGCGAGAAGCTCTGATTTCAGGTTTGCTCTTGCCGACGATTGGGCTGCTCATGCTTGTTCTTGCCCTACAAAAGCATTGCCCTCTCCCCCGTCGCCCCAGAAACACAGATCGCGTTCGCTGCCCCTCAACGAGCTTCAACTCAGGGCCGGTCTTTCATCCCTAAGTAGTTTTTTTTCACGGCCGCCCGCCGAGGACTCCCGGAAGCAGAACCTTGCCAGAAACCTACGTCTTGATCTTTTCAAGACGTTCGATCTTTTCAAGACGTTCGAGGTCGGGGTCTCCCCCCCCTCGATGCCCGCCACCGCCGCAGCCTCGGCGATGGCATTGGGGGCGTTCGCAGGCCACCGAGCGCGACGACCGAGAGACCGACGACGACCGCCCGACGACGACAGACGACGACGACGATCGACTACGACGACCGACGAGGACGACGAGCGACGACGACGCCCGACGACGACGTCGGCGACCGACGACGATGGATCTTTACGTTGGATCCTTGCATTGGATCTTTACGTTGGATCTGTGCGTTGGGTCTGCACGTTGGATCTTTCCGTTGGCTATCTAAGTTGAATCTTTACGTTGGATCATTACGTTGGTTTTTTACTTGGGATATGTACGCTTGATCTGTACGTTTGATATTTACGTTGGGTCTTTACGTTTGATCTTCACGATGGCTCTTTACGTTGGATCGTTGGGCTCGATATTCACGTTCAATTTTTACGTTGGATCTCTCCACTATGTATTGTGCACTTCTGTGAATGCAATTGTGCAATTTACTACTGTGCACTAGTGAGGTTAACAGTGACGAGGAAAAAAATCGGATCTACGTAGACGAGTGGCAAGCACTTGGGCCAGATCACCATCTGAAGGACGGGAGCAAAGCGCCGGTCCAAAAATGAGGCCCGCGCTGCAGGGGAAAAACTAATGATGGAAAAACCACGTTTGTCCGGTCGTGCGTAAACAGTCATATGAGGAGAGGGCGGGACGTCTTCCAGACCGTGTCGGGGCAGAGACGCGAGTACTCATAATGTATAAGTGCGAAGGAATGAAGGAAGGAGAGGAGGAGGAGGAGGAGGAGAAAGAGGAGGAAGAGGAGGAAAAGGAGGATGAGGAGAGGTGAGGAAAGAGGAATATGAGGGACAGGAGCTGGAGGACGGGGGAGGAAAAAAAAGGGGAGGGGGAGGAGGAGGGTGGAGGAGGAGGAGGAGGAGGAGGAGCAGGAGCAGGAGCAGGAGGACGGGGGAGGAACAAGTACAGGGTCGCGAACTCCAGCAGCACGCTCTCGCCGCCCCCGAAGCTCACGGCCCCGTGTGCGGCTGGCGTGCGGCCCTCTCCCCGCAGGTGCTGGTAGATCGCGTTGCCCTTCGCGGCGTTCTCGAAGCTGCACTTCTCGAAGTTCGAGTAAGGGATCGAGTACATAATCGATTCCCCCCCAAAACTGATGTGCCCGTGAAGTCTACGACAAAGCCGTATGATGCTCGTATAGTTATCTGCGAGCACTGCTCGCATTTGTTTGGTACACTCGGCGAGAAAATCAGCTCTGGGGTGCATCGGTTCTGTGGTCGATCCCCTGCTCGAGAAGTACGGCTGCTCGGACCTGCCCTCCAACTCCTCGATGGCCCTGTACAGCTCGCGCCCCGGCGCGGTGCCCGAGAGCCCGCGGAGCCAGTCGGGCCTCTCCTCCTCGGCCAGCTCCAGCAGCTTCAGCGCGCCCCTGACGCTGTGCTTCAGCTCCTCCAGCTTCTCCCAGCAGCCCGCCCCGAACAGCCTTCGGTGGCAACTCATGGGAGCCTCCCATGCCATCTTGGCGGCTCCTGCGAATCGACGCTAAGTCGACGCGAAGTCGGCGCCAAATCGACGCAGTCGACGCTAATCGACGCTAGGTCGGCGCTACCTCACCCACTCCCGGACGCGGATCGACACTAAAAATAAAATCAACAGGGTATACCACTCAGACATGCGACGTCCTGATGTTTCCAGGACGGCGTCTCTGAACATCCCGACCCTTTCCCCAGGACAGGCTTTTCGCCTCGAGCCGTTTTCCGACGGCCCCAGGGCCCGGCGAGGGCTCCCGGAGGCCGCACATGGCGGCAAACTGGCCACCCTGATCTTTGCTGCGGCTCGATCACGTCGGGGCAGGCTCCCACGACTTGCCACCGAGGTAGCCGTAGGTCGGGCCTGTCCCCCTACAGTGGGATTTTCGACGAAAATTTTTTAAAAAATCCTCCCAAATACCCCCAAAAAGGAACAATCAAAAAAAAAAAAAAACATACTCAAAGCATAGCCCCCAGACTATGTTAGGACTATTTTGGGGGGTATATTTTCTGTTTTTCGTCGAAAATCCCCCACCTAGGGGGGGACAGGCCCGAATGCAAGGCAGCCTGTCCACGCCCTCGCAGATGGAGGCCTCCGGCAGCCACGAGACGACCACGGGCAGGCCCTGGTCGGCCCACTCGCGGGCCTGCCCGAGGCGCTTCGCGCGCTCCTCGGGGCCGGGCGCGCTCCCCTGGACGTTCTTCACCCAGACGAGCTCCGGCACCGCCAGCCCGGCACCGGCCCTCCTCGGGGCGCACAAGGACACGCTGGTACCACGTGTCCTCCTCGGAGGCACCGCCTGTACCCCGCACCCTCCGGCCGCCTGCGGCCCCGCCCGCCCGCGCCCTGTCTCCCCGATTCGTGCTTGGCGCGCCCCGCCTGGCTCTCAGCCGGAAGAGGCCCGCTCTCGACCTGCAGACCAAAAAAGTCCTCCTCGGAGGCGCGCGTCTGACTACCTACCAGACTACACCAACCCAGCCCGAAGACCTGAATTTCGGGTGGGGGGGGTATGGGCTCCATATGTCTTTGTTCCGATGTTCTCGGACCCCCCCCCCACTGGAAATGGGGGGCAAATTGAGGCCTTCGGGTTGGGTTGGGGTGGTTTGGTGGGTGGCGACACAAGGACACACTGGTACTACGTGTCCTCCTCGGAGGCGTGCGTCCGACCCGAACAAATATCGTAGAAGCATCGAACCGCCGACGGTTTCCCGAGCGGCGCGGCCAAAGAGCGCCCGCCTCGGAACATGTGCCGTAGGACTCCTCGGCGCGCGCGCGTCGCCCCCCCCCCCCCCCTGGGGGCGACGCACGCATTGTATGAGCACGTTTGGGTTTACCAGCCTCGAACGTATCCCTATCCCTAAGATTGACACGCCAAAAGGCGATGACAGTCTTAGGGATTCGCCCTCAAAAAATAAGGGAATCCCTGAGATTGGCATCGTGATGAGGAGGTGCCCAGCGTAGGGATGGGGATATGTTCCAGGCTGGTAATGGGTGGCGCCGGCTCCTGTCCGCGTAAGCCTTGACGTAGCGCTGGAAGCCATCCTTCCAGGGGTCGCCGTCGACCACCAGGAAGTCCGGGCGGAAGCGCGAGATGGCCTGGGCGGCGGCCTCGTCCTGCCGCTGCTGCTGCGCGACGCCCTGGCCCTCGGGGGGGCTCCCGAGGCCGGCGCCGAAGCCCTTGACGTGCAGCACGCGCTTCCCGGAGACGAGCTCCTGCACCTCCTCCGGGGTCTCCAGGACGCGGAGCTCACCGCCAGCATCCTGGCAGGGATCCTCCGCCTCCTCCTCCTCCTCCTCCTCCTCCTCCTCCTCCTCCTCCTCCTCCTACTACTACTACTACTACTACTACTACTACTACTACTACTACTACTACTACGAGGGCGGAGGAATGGGGAGCTGCCGGCACAGCGGACCTCCCACCTGCGGTGGTTGCCGGCGGGGGCGTCGCAGGGTGGCGCCGTATAGCACGAGGCACGTGAGGAGGTGGCCGTGAGGAGGCAGGATGGATGAGGTTACGTTGCTCCCATCGTGCTTGAGGACCACGTCCAGAAACAACTTCGAGCACCCAGAAAAATGCCGAAACAGCGTCGAACGAGTATCGCATCCCGGGGCCCCACGCGTGAAAACCCTCAAGCTTTGGTGCTTTCCATTGTTTCTGGCGATCAAGGCCTAAGTAGGTTGGAACATCGCAAGGATGAGGGAGGTAGGAGGGAGACGGCACGAGGGCGAGGAAAGAGGAGCGAACGGCCCGAATCGAGTTACCCAGGATGCATCAACGATGCCGGAGGTGGCCGGGAGAGGCGGGATGCATGAGGGAGGGAGGAGGGCGAACAACCCAAATCTACCCAGGACGCATCAGCGATGCAGGAGTTCACTCTCCGAGGCAGTCCTTGGCCCCGTGCCCGTGCCTTCCACACTTGTAGCACATGGGGCTTTTGCCAGTTTCCTTTCCTTCACTATGTTCGTTCGCTTTGCCTTTCGCGGCCACGTCTTCCACAGTCCAGGGCCACTAATTACGCATCTCGTCGTGATGACCTGCACCGTCTCCATTGGTTCCCTTTTCCACAAACCGTCACCATTAACCGGGCAACTGTCCATAGCATCGGTGTTCTCTGTGTCGGCGTCTAGCCTTTGCTCCTCGCCCGAACCTCGCTCCGAAAAGGCCGCCTCTGGTACGTGCCGATGTTCAGCGACCCTGGGGTTATGTATGGAATCTCGCTGCCCGTCGCCGAACCAATCGCTTGCGTGGGTCGTGGTGATTTTCCAGACTGTAGCCCTGATTCACAATGCAAACGAAGAGGCGGACCCATACTTTTCCCAATGATTCCACTGAGGCGCTCCACTGTCCAAGTTGCACAGCCACCTAATTCATTTTCTGTGGAATTTTGGGGTTCATGGCCAATTTCACCTTCTGCGGAAGAAGAACACCCCAGGCAACCACCGAATACCAATTGTAGATTTTTCTGATTGGCCAGCAGTTCATTTCCTTCATGAAGGCCTGTAAGTTTCCCTCGGGGCTCAGTTCCCCGAGCTCTGTCGTTAAAAAATACCAAGGAAGTCATCGTCCAACTTGGACTAGTCGATGTCATCCAACTCCGCTTCGGGCGTCGGAAGTCAAGCGTGCCTCGCTTGGGTGAGTGCGTTCGACAGTTTCTCGCTCTATTAATGGAGTTGGTGCTGTCACCTGAAAACGGCCTGAACTGTTGAACAACTTTGAATTCACTCACGGGCTTGCCTCCACCTCCGCCATCCCTGCCGTCTCCTGCGCACCGTATTGCCTCAGCGAAATTGGTAACGTGTTCCGGGCTGTTCGCTTGATGTTGGAACTCTCTCTTCACATACTCGTTAAGTCATCGAACTGTTACTCGCAATACATGTTGCGATTGATAACTGAGACCAGGAGAACATCCATTGCGAAGCTCATCTTCAACGTTGCGAATGTCTCGTCGTTGCTCACAATCCTGTTGCACTGTGTGGCAATCTGCTCGAAGAACAACTTCATGCCTTCTCGATTGGGTTTCAGCGCTGTGCTCATGTTCCTGAACTCCCCATTCTCGTTACATCTCGTTACCTGCGGTGCACAGCTCCGCGAACCGGGTCGTGCCCAAGTTGTACCATGCTTATCGTATTTCAAATAACGACGCATCATAACCTGGATCATTCGCTCCGGGGTTCGCAGGGGCAGCTGCAATTGCCACCGCCGCCATCTCTGCTCCGAAACTCGTGGGGCGAACAACGGGCTCCGCTAACATGACAACATGACATTGCAGCAGGAGCTCATTCACGAGAACGCAATAATATTTGAGCCCAGCGCACGCGGCGTGGCATGTTATTTCAAAGGGGCCTAGAAGTAACATCGCAGTTTGCCAGAAGACACCTAACAGCTGAACAAGCGCACTCTTCTCACCCAGTCGTAACTCTATGGTTTAACACTCTCCTCTCCTCCTCGTCCTTCTCCTCCTGTTCCTGTTTCCGCTCCTGCTCCTGCTCCTGCTCTTGCTCCTGCTCATGTTCCTGCTCCTGCTCCTCCTCCTCTTCCCCCTCCTCCTCCTCCTCCGACGATGACGACGACGGACAACTGTCGACGAGCAATGAAAGCCAGCGACGAACGCCGACGGCGAACGAAAACGGACGACAACGGACGACGGCGACGACGACGACGACGGACGATGACGAGCGACGACGGACAACCACAGCGACCATGACCTCGACCGCGACCACAACGACGGCGATCTCGACCGCGACGATTGTGACCGCAGCCTCGACGACGACGACCCCGACGGATGCTGACGACGACTACTACGAAGACCCAAATGTCCGCGGCGGCAATCAAGGATCTCCTGACCCGGGTCGACCCAAACCCGGGTCAGTCGGGCCCTCCAGGATCCTGCAAGATCCTGCAGGACCCTGCAGGATCCTGCACCCAAGCCTGGGCCAGTGCGACCGTGGCCGTGCAGGATCCTGCAAGATGCGGCGCTCTGACTCACCCACGTTTGCGTTGACCCTCGTCCCTGGAGCCCCGAGGCAAGGGGGGGCGCCGCGCTTCCTCGGGGGCGGCCAAGAGAGGGGCGTCCAAGAGGGGGGGGCGCAAATCATGGCCGGCTGCATGTGCGCGGCCCACGGGGGGGCGGGGACCGATTGACAAAGAAGAGGCGCCATGATATCCACCCCCCCCTGGTCCTCACCCCCCTCTTGGCCGCCCCCGATATGTTCCTCCTCTGTTCCTCCCAAGATGGAGGAGGAGGAGGAGGAGGAGGAGGAGGAGGAGGAGGAGGAGGAGGAGGAGGAGAGGAGCGAGCGAGGTGGGGGAGGAGGATGAGGAGGAGGAGGAGGAGGAGTAGGAGGAGGAGGAGGGCGAGGGAGGAGAAGGAGGCGAGGGAGGAGGAGGAGGTAGGAGGAGGAGGAGGAGGAGGAGGAGAGCGAGGAGCGAGGAGCGAGAGGAGGAGGAGGAGGAGAGGAGGAGGAGGAGGAGCGAGGAGGATGAGGAGGAGGAGGGGAGGAGGAGGAGGGAGGAGGAGAGGAGCGAGGAGGAGGAGGCGAGGGAGGAGGAGGAGGAGGAGGAGGAGCGAGGAGCAAGGAGGAGGACGGTGGGGCGCCGCGCATCCTGCTTCTCGCCGGCCGTGCCCGGTCCGCTCTTCCTCTTGCCGCCGCCCATCGCGCGCGCGCGCGGCGCGCCCTCGCGGGGCGCAGGCTGAGAGAGAGGAGCAGGCTGGGAGCAACAGGAGGGAGCCAACATGAGATGATCGCAACTTCGATTCGCAACTTCCCCCGTGGAGTATCGAGTTCGGCCTCCGCGCCCCTATCCACACTTAGATCCCACTGAACGGGGATATATCAAAAAATAGAGGGGGAATAGGGGGGGTATGTTTCAGTATCGCCCGCACGCGGTTCGCCGCGCGCGCCGCGCCCCACGGCCCCCGGTCTATAGCATTCAGTCGGGCACGTCCTCCTACAGGGGAAAAATGCAAGAACAGTAGACAAGTAGTCTGGGGACGATGTCTCGACTATGTCTGATCATTTTTGTGATTGTTCTGGGACTATGTGAAATTTGTCTTCCGAAATCCGCCTGTACGAGGACATGCCCGACCTAGGTCTAGCAGGAAGGAACGGGTGCGGAGGGAGACGGGCCCTGGAAGCTTCTCGCCGCTCTCGACCCCTGGGGCCGCAACATGAGCTGCTCGGGATGAAGAACTGGTTCTCGGGACCGCCCCAGGGTCTAGGATTCAGTCGGGCGTGTCCCCCTACAGGGGGATTTTGGACGAAAAACAACAATACCCCAGAAATATTCAAACGATGCCCAAATATACTCAAAAAATAGTCCCCAGACTGTTCTTCGACTATTTTTGGATCTTCCTCCCGTAGAGGGACAGGCCCGACTTAAGTCTAGGACTCGTTTCCCCTGTTGCTTCACGACACCGCGTGGAACGCTCCACCTGGAATGATGGCGGCTCTCCGTCAGCGCGGATCGCGGGATGCCGATCGATTCGGGGCCACCGGCGACATCCGGCCTTGAGCGCCCGCGCAGGGGTCGCCGAAGCATCGACACGATACGAATCCTGAGGGGGGGGAGGGGTAAGGGAAGGAGGAGGAGGAGGAGGAGGAGGAGGAGGAGCGAGGAGGAGAAGGAGGAGAAACGAGAAGAAGGAGCGAGGATGAGGAAGAGGGATGAGGTTGAGGATGAGGATGAGGAGGAGGAGGAGGAGGAGGAGGAGAGGAGGAGGAGGGGGAGGAGAAGGGGGAGGAGGGGAGGAGGAGGAGGAGGAGGAGGAGGAGGAGGAGGAGGAGGAGGAGAGGAGGAAGGAGGAGAGGAGGAGGAGGAGGAGGAGGAGGAGGAGGAGGAGGAGGCGAGAGAGGAGGAGGAGAGAGGAGGAGGTGGAGGAGGAGGAGGTGTAGAGGGAGGAGGGAGGAGGAGCGCGGAGGAGGAGGAGGAGGAGGAGGAGGAGGAGCGAGGAGGAGGAGGAGGAGGGAGATGAGGGAGGAGGGGAGAGAGGAGGAAGAGGAGGAGGAGGAGGAGGAGGAGGAGGAGGAGGAGGAGGAGGAGGAGGAGGAGGAGGTAAGGAGGAGGAGGAGGAGGAGGAGGAGGGGGGAGCAAGAGTGGAGCTCGTCCTTCCCTTCACTCCCCCCCGCCCCCCCTCTCTCATCAACCCTTTCCCCCTCGCTACCTCCTTCGTCTGACGGGCTGGTGGACGCCGTAGGTGATCGCACAAGCATGCCACCGAACACGGAGGCAGGACAATAGCAGGGCAAAGTCGGCTCGGGACAGACCGGGGACCTCTGAGACCCCGCGGCGCAGAGGGATATTCCAGGTGCCGCGGCCTTCTCAGAGCGCTCAGGGACGCTCTGAGAGCTTTCTGGGGAGAAGTATCCCGATCCTGGATCCGATTTACCCTGGAGTGCCATGTGGGAGCTCGTCTTTAACAGGAACATACCGTGGACGGATCTTACCCTTTCTCCGACCATGCACCGCGCCGAACGCAACGGCCACGTGGTCCATAGACGTATCCACCCCGAGAGTGTCTATGGACGTCGCGGCACCCCATGTGTCCATGGACGCTTTCGGCCAGGACGTGAGAATGGTAGTCATGTGGCCTTGGCCCCAGATGTTGGTCTTCTAGAAGCAGGTAGGCGTGGCCCTCCAAGATTTACCACCCCACCTCGCGCCCCGCGCCCCGCGAACCGCCGCATAGCCGACACCCGGGACAGGAGAACACCGCGGCGCCTCCCAGATCGCTGAGGCGCGTCGGCGCACCTTGCTCCACGCGCCCATCCCATGACACCTCGCTCGCGCTGCACAAGCGCATCCATGAAGCGCCCAAAGCGTCAGACGCCAAGAAGATGCTAAAGACCCTGGGCAAGGCGGCACGCACGAGGCGAGGATCCTCTTCGCGCCCCCCTGCGGCAGCATCCCCCCCTTGGGGAGGAGTGCCCAGCCTACCTCGGACGCCGCCTGCGGGGGAGCAACGTCGTCAAGCTGTACAGCAGGAGCAACCGATCGTAGGTTAGAACCTAACAAACTTGAGAATCAGGAAAACACCGGAAAGCATGAAGGCCAGCAACAAAAGAGTCCGGAGAGTGTCAATGCTGTTCGACAGATGTGCGAACGATTGCTCCGAAGCGTGTGAGGACCAATAACAAGCCCTTGTGTTGGAGGCCTGGAAATTGGCACCAACACCAGCACAGGGGTTTGCCTCCACAGGGAGATGATGATCTTAGATTTCGGTGTTGGTGGTAATATTTCGGTCACCTTGGAAGCCAGAATATTACCACCACCACCGAGATCGGGATCGTCTTCCCTCGGTGGAGGCACACCACCGATCTTGGTGTTGGTGTCAATCTCTAGGCCTGCCCTTGTGGGGGGAGCAGCGGGCACCGATGCTGCCACTCCCTGGACCTCTCTCGGGATGCGCTCTGCTGGCCAAGACCTCGAGGCGAGCCCAGCCGCAGCGACGAGGGCTCTCCACCACGAGCGGCGACGTCGGCATCTGCTGTTGTGGCTTGTCCTTCCTGTAGAGGGAGGAGGAGGAGGAGGAGGAGGAGGAGGAGGAGGAGGAGGAGGAGGAGGAGGAGGAGGAGGGGGAGGAGGAGGAGGAGGAGGAGGAGGAGGAGGAGGAGGAGGAGGAGGAGGAGGAGGGAGGAGGAGGAGGAGGAGGGAGGCGACATCGGTATCCCCCTGTCGTGGCTCCCTGGTTCGTCCTCGGACGTCCTCGCTCGGGGGTCTCCGGCGGCTGTGCTTCGGGGCGCTCCGGGCACCCCTGAGGACGGGCACGTCACCCCACAAGCGGGCCTTGGAGGAGCAGTGATAAGTACCCCCCAAAATGCTCACAGACAATCAACGAATAATCGACAAATCGTCCCCCGCCTTTTTCTTTGACCTTCTTTGATTGAATACTCCTCCTGTAGAGGAGCAGGCCCGACTTATAAGGCACCCCTCTGGAGCGCTCTGGGCGGGGCGCAGCTGCTGGGACGGGCCCCGGGGCGGGCAAACCCCTGGGGACCCCACAAAGGTCCGACGCCTCGCCTCCCCCCTTCCCCGTCCTCCCTCTCTCGCTGCTCTTTCTCCCTCTCTCTCTCTGTCTCTATCCCTCTCCCTCCCTCTCTCTCTCTCTGTCTCTCTTCCCCTCTCTCTCCCTCACTCTCCCTCTCTCTCTCTCTCTTTCTCTCTCCTCTCTCTCTCTCTCTACTCTCCTCCTTCCCCCGAGCCGAGCAGGGGAGCCCGGCGCAAGGCGCGCGCGCGGCGCGTCGGGCTCGGAGATGTTTTTTTTGTTCATCATCCCCGGCAACGCGGGGGGGAGGCAACGGTACCGCCAGGGCGGGGTGGGGCACGTCGGGGCGGGGGTCCGCTGCAAACGCCATGATGTGCATCACGGGGGGGGCGGGCTCCAAGCCCCCCCCCATTCCACCGTGCGATCGCTGCCACTGATTACTAGAGGGGGGAGCGGAGCGGGGCTGGGCCCGGGCAGCGACCGTTGCAGTGGAGGCCAGCCCAGGAGAAACCTTCCACCAGACACCCAACCCTGAGACCCCAGGACGCCCCTCGATCTATGGTGGGAACGCCACGCGTTCCGTCGCAAGACCGTCGCAAGCCAAGAAACACAGGGCACCCTGGAGGCAAGCAGAGGGTGCTTCTTGGCATAGGCACACCCCCTCCTCCCCCTCCTCCTCCTCCTCCTCCTCCTCCTCCTCCACCTCCCTCCTCCTCCTCCTCCTCCTTCTCCTCCTCCTCCTCCTCCTCCTCCTCCTCCTCCCACCGCGCCGGCTGATGATAAACACAGATCATCCTAGCGCGGGGTCCTCGGGCTGAACGGGTGCGGCGGCAGCGCCATGCTGTAGGTGACGGTGCGGACCCGGCACGCCCCGGAGCCGCCGCCCTCGGGCAGGAGCGGGCCCACCTCCACGCCCGTGCACCCCTGGCCGGCCACGTAGTCCAGGAGCAGGGAGCCCGCGCCCCATGGCGCCGAGGAGGACAATCACGGCCCAGGACGAGACGACGGCCCGAGTCGAGACAGCATCGGACCGAATTACATATATATATATATATAGATCTATATATATATATATATATATATGCACACATACATTTACATGTATGTACATACGTATGTTTATACATATATATATAGAGAGAGAGAGAGTGTATAGATACATAGAGAGAGACGGTTTGGTGCCTTTGCGGGGGGTGCCATTTTTGGTGCCTTTGCGGGGGCGCGCGCGGATGGGGTCGGAACGGGCCGTCTGCCGGGATGGCACGGGGGGGGCGCTTCTTATGCCATCTGGAGTGCGTGTGTATATATATAGAGAGAGAGAGAGAGAGAGAGAGAGAAAGAGAGAGAGGGAGAGAGAGAGAAAGAGAGAGAGAGAGAGAGTTGGAGATCTCTCTGAGCATCGGCGGGCCTGGAGCATGTATCTCGGGCGCCGCGGCCGTTCCAGAGCGCTGCGCGGAACGCTCCGAGAGCGTCCCAGAACGCTCGGGACCGACGCGTCTCGATTCGAGGCCTGCCTGACCGGACCCCCTCTGGTCTTGAAAACATCACGACGGACGTTTTTTTATTGTATCTTTTTTTTGTTTCAAAAAATATTAGGAAAATGAATATACAACCCCCAGAAACATGATTTTCGGCCTCTGGGTGCCCTCACGAGGCCTCGGGGCCGTCAACGAAACGACTCGGCTGGGGGTCCACGCCGTCAAAGAGGTCTTGACGCCCGGGGCCTGG